AACTGCTTCCAAACTCCTGGGTGTTTGAGAAGGTGGTGGCTTCTGCAGAGGGGCTCAGGGTGTAAGAGTAGTCAGTGTTGCAACAGGGTCTCCTCTTTCTGCAGATCAGCACTTGAGCTGGATGGTGCATAAGGCACGGTGAACATGGCAGGGGATGGAGAGGGTCTCTGGAGCAGGCGTGGGCTGGCAGCCTCTGCACCGCCTGGACCTCGCAGGGACACTGCAGTGATGGACAATTACTGTCCTTTCCAATATTGCCATCTAGAGGACCCAGCAAGGACAAGATCTCCTTGCAGGCCACGATGAGAGAAGGAAGAAGAATCAAAACTTGCTTTCTTTAATTCTAACCTCACATAAATGCTTCCACAGCATGACCTGGAGACAGAGAGCCATGTGCACAGGACTGCCTGTGCCTTGGGCATAAGAATACAGGATTGCTCTAAAAACAGCCCGGTGACTTTTTTGAGGTTGTAGATGCCCAGTGTTGGCCCAGTTCCCAGCACTTTACTGATCCCCACATGGCCATGGCCAGGTGATACGATAGCTTGACTGAAAGCTGTCCCTCATCAGCCCAAATTGAACCGGACTAATAAAATGGGGACTATTCAGCAAGTGGCGGCTCTACGCACCTACCTGCGGTGCAAGTCCCCCTCCCCAGACTATGCAGGTATCTGCCTCGTCCCTTCTCCCAGTGTCTCTGAGCAGCACGTATCCAAAATCTTTTTGCATGGCTGAAATGACATGCCAGTTCACGGCACAGCGAGCCCATCCCAGAGGATGCCTGCCTGCAGCCACCTGCATCGGGAAGGGTGGATGCACGCCAGCGGGTCCCGGCTACGTTTTGGGCACCGGGGATAGCTGTCACCAATGGTGAGCCCAAGGGCCTGAATCATACTTTATTTCAACAAAACAATTAATTTGTAAGGGGTGTGCTGCACTTCTTTTGAGGGTTTGCGAGGGTAAAGAGCTGCCAAGAGGCATTTGTTCAACTGCTAAACTACATCCTTGTTTTAGTTACGTGCTCAAGTACAACCCAAGCCTGGGCTGGACAGCACGTGTACAGCGGGATTAGCAGTGTTTATTCTGTCAGCATTTTGAGGTGCAAGTGCACGCTGGAATTAGCATCATTTCATAGTAAGGAAATAAACAACATTGTCTCCTCTCCCACGGCTGTCACTTCCAGTAGCACAGGCCACCGACAACCAGCATGACACTGGACAAACCCTTCTCGTTTGCAGACTCCCGGTACTTTTGTGAGCTGCAGTCAAGGCTTTGGCAAAGCCCAGCGTGAGAGCTCAGGACTCGCTGCTCCATGTGAGGACCACAGTCCCTTCGGAAAGCAGAACAGGCAACCCCCGGGCTGGCCGCTGCTATGGATGAGAGACAAGTGTGTTTAACTAGGTTTCAGCAGCTACCCTCCCGCAGTGATACAGAGCTACGAACAATGTATTTTTATACCATTCAAAGGATGAAGTTTGTTCTTTGTGATTCAAAGCCCTAAAAACCAGATTCCTGAAGTTTCAGATATTGAAGGATTGTAAAGCAATTGAACAACTGACCTCTTCAGCTGCTCCGACACCACACAGCACCAAAAAAACAGCAGACAGCAGATGGAGGGCAGAATCACCTGCCACAAGCCCAGCTGCAAATTCAACAAAAACGCAGAACATAAAAGCCCACGAAAGCTCAGGAGCCCCAATTTTGCAACACCCCATAGTGACGCCTCTCACACAGGTCCACCCACCACCCCAGGGCACGTGCGAGTGAGCAGCGTCACCCCGGCTGGGTTTTGCTGCTTGTGGAGGAGCCTGGGAGCTGCGATGGCTTTTAGCAGACATCAGCGTCTCTCCGCTCCCCAGCGCCTGTTCCTGCAAGGGAGGATGACGGCCGCAGGGCTGGGCTGTGTCTCAGGAGCGGAGGTGAAGGCAGGAGCATGCGCCCCAGCCCAGCTTGCCCTCCAGCCCACGGGGTTCACCATCTGCATCTGTGGCTGCTGCCTCACCCCTTGGCCAAAATGAACAAACTGGTCTGAGAAGGTCAAGTGGCACGTCGTCACTTCGCTACAGATTTATTTCTGTGTGAATTAATGAAACGGTACACACAATTCCAGAAAAAAAAAAATTTATAGGCCCATAATCCTTCTTTCACAGTACAACGCAACAGTAAAGGATTTAATCAGTGTAAACAGAAGGTCCAATAGTGATCATCAGCTATCACAGATCAGCTGCACAAACACCACAACTACGGAGTTAATGCCATTACCACACAAATCGACAGTACTAGTACAAATCATAACTTTACCTACAATGCTTTTTCATGTGCAAAAACCATGAAAATTCAATTTACAGAAGGACACTTTCTCTAAACCTTCAGGAGAGCTGTGAACTGCCTCCTCAGGGCTGTCTTATCTGTTTGGCAAAAGATCTCGAGGCCTGATTCTCCAAGGTACTCTTAACTTCGTCTGCAGCATGCAAGCCATCAGGGCTCTGCATCTGAAAACCAGGCACTCGTGTATTCTCAGCTGCGGTGGGACAAAGAAAATAATCAGCTGAGGATGAATCTGAGTCATTTATTAGATCACTCCTGAATTTCAGCTCGGATTCATTCATTCACCAAGATTATTCGGAACAGTCCTGGTTATATTATATATGGATCATAAGAGTTCACAGGTAACCCATAAAATCATCATTTGTTACCTTTTTTTTTTTACTTTAATGTACTAACTGAACCGCCACTGCCGTCAAAAGCTGAGGCTTATGGTGATGTATCAGCAAGCTTAAAGAGGGTGGATAAATTATAGAAGTCGAAGGGTCAGAGAAAGAGAAGAATGCTACCGAGGCTACAGTAAAACATTGCGCTGTGGCCATCTCGCAGCGCTCGGCTGCAAACTTGCACCTCAGCTGGGGACTGCCTGGGAGGGAGCCCTGCGCTGCCCTTACGCTGCGCCGGTGCCCGGCGATGGGACCACGGGCTGTCAGGGGCAGCAGAACCGTCCTGCACCTCCGGCTGCACCAATGCCAGCTCTGTAAATTGAATTCATAGTCAGATTACACAGGAAAAAACAAGAGGTAGTTATTTATCATACCTCTTCAAAAAGGCAAAACAAACAAAAAACAGGATGTAGAAGTGATGCAGTAAACCTAGAGTCAACAGGTACCTACTTTTTTTTTTCCTTTTTGGTTTGGTTTTTTTTTTTTTTTTTTTTAAACACATGACGTTAAGTTACAGACATCATATAAAATGCACACTTTATGGAATTCCTGCATAGCAGGAAACAAAGAGGCTAGCGCTAATCCAACAGCTATGTTAACAGCGAGACTGCCATTTACTGGTGCAAGGAAGATGCCCTATCTAAATATAAACAGAGCATTACCCCCCTTCTAGAGGAGTCCTATGGCAACACTTACACATTTTGTTCAGAAGGAAAAAGAAAGCATTTTCTTGGGGGATAAACTGCCAAAATAATTATTTTCACATCCGTAAATTTAAGGCAATGTTACTTAGACCTGAGAAAATGAAGAAAAACAAAAAAAAAAGTGTAAATTTATTTTCTCAACTATACATATACACTCAAAATTTCAGTATTTCCTGTCTCCTCCAACTCTCAGGTGGTGCTGGGGAAAACAGCCATGGGGACACTGCTCTGAGGTCTCAGGGTTGGATCCTGAGAGATGCAGAGTTTCTTCCAAGAAAAGCTAACGGGAGCTGTGAGCACTTGGACCCACACAGCTCTTTTTCATATATTCTCTTTTTAAACACCTCTGTTTAAGCCCTCTGGAGAGGGTTAACTCCAGAACGGGCCTATAGTGCACCACCAACCCTGAAAGGCTTGTATAGAAAAAACTGCAGCTAAAATAGATAATAAAATTACATACAGTGAATTTCTGCGATTCCCCCTTTTCAGGAGAAAAAGAAGGATGTCAGGGTTAACAATTTCACTGCACCTTTAGCCACTCCCATAACTACAGGGTGAATCCTTTAACACTAGTGTGAAATCTCAAATTGTTCTGTGCTCTTCCTTGGAAAATAAACATTAAAATTAAAAAACACAACAAAAATCGCAAACATTTCTCATTAAATGGTAAGAGATGTGAGAGAGATCGGGTGGGGATTACAGACACACGGCATGCTACGGAGTTATTAAACAAAGTGCAATGATTTTTGACTATACAGGAGGACGGACGGACAACTCCCCTTCAGTACCACCTGGATGCTCAATACCTCTGGAGAGGTCCGGAGGTACCGTGTCAATCTGTAGCCGTAAAGCTTGTGTTCGAGGCTGGCCGGACTCCACGGCCCCACGTGCAACTGCGGTAGCTCTGCACATCTCAGCTACATCCACGACTGCAGAAGGGATTCACTCGCACAAAGACACGGTCGCTTTCCAAATGTGAAATTTAGTTGCCAGTTGAGGATTTGATGGCTGGTTCTAGAAAGCTGCTTGAGCCACAAATGAGAGATGGATTCAGCCCTAAAATCTGCACGCCTGGTGTAGTTTCTGTGGGATCACCTCTTTCTCCTAAACATGACTACAGATACAAATCATCCCTCCCTCCTGCTCCCATCCGAGCAGCCTGACACCCACAGTCCTTGCTATCAGCTTTGGCCTGCCGTTAGCCCGATAAAGCAGGGCTGGGGCAGAGGGTCACTAAAAAGCAGAAAGTCTCCAGGTCCCAGCTCAGGTTCCCACAAAGCAAACAAACTTTTCACCAGCTGCTGCCTGGCAAGAGGGTCTGTGGGCAGATTTTTCACTGATACTTCAAACGTGACTATCCAAATATCAGAGCCTAAAAAAACCCCACAATCCTCATCTGAATAGAAAGCGATTTCTACTGCTTGCCAGCACCTCCTTATCCTCCTCTCTCAGGCTCAGAGGATGAACTCCTTTACTTACCCTGCTGGGAACGAAACCCTTCGTCAAATCACACATTAAAGAAGCTCGCTGTGTGCAAAAGACTCTTATGCTAAAACAGTTCCACCCTACACAGTGCAGTCAACACAGTTTTTAACTTAAATTTGCAGCTTGTTCTTTACAAGTGCTTGGCAGAGAATATTTATATTCTTCTGACACCATATAAATAATATTTATACAGCTTAGACATTTTGAGACATGCATTAGACTTTAGGTAGTACATATTTCTTGATCATATATGCAAATATTACTGTCAATTAAACTGAGCAACCTTATGCTGGACCATGTCTTGCGTTATCCAGGACGTTTGACGGTGGCTCTGAATCGTCCATGGGAAGGACCAGGCGTGTTCCCCGGATTACGAGTTCATGGTCCCCAAAAGCAAGCTCCCGATCAAGGGCGTCTTCAGAGCTGTTTCCCACGAACCGCCGCGATGTGCCACTGGATGCGACAGAGTCAGTGTTGACGGTGGAATCCCCGTAGGTCAGACTGATGTCCCCATCGTTCAAAATGAGGTCAGAGTCATCGTCCTTCAGCTGCTCTTGATTCTGGGCAACAAACAGGAAGAAAGTGCTGTTTAACTCTTCCTGAATGTTTGCAATCACACGGTGGTGGTGAACGAGCAGACAGAGGCACCGAATCACAGACTCTCCTGCACCATGACCATAACCAGATGTGCCACACACACGTGGGAGCCCAGAAGACTCGCACAACGCACTAACCTCACTGCAGACTGCCTAAAAGGGCGCTCTCAGCTCTTCATTCTGATGCCATAGCCAAATAAGTGGGGAATAGAGTTTTGAGTGGCTTTGACATGACCATGGGAATCACATCACCAACCCGTCAAAGCCACAGGAGACCAAGTCTGACCAGCAAACCCAGCTCCTTGAAGAGTGTGGGTGCCCACAGGCTCCGCAGCGATGGTGGAAGAGGCTGCTGCCTATGGGCTCACCAAAGCTGCTTGTCACCCCTTGCCTCTCTGGGCTGCTCAAACAAGGGCTCTTTATCATTTCAGGAGAAAATCAGCCCCGGTTCAGATGCTGGCAACCCTTTCGGTTGTGAGTGATGCAGCTGAAGGGGCTGCAGGAACGGCTCAGCTGCAAGGCTGGAAGAAAGCAGGGGATGAGGAAGCTCTGTGTCCTCACAGCTGGGACTGAGGAAGGACACCCGTGACAGCTTCACTGAGGAACTACCATGAATACACCACGAGTCCCTTCATGACCAAACAGTCAGCTGGAAAAGCAAAATGCTCACAGGAATTAGCCCATCCATCAGCCCCAGAATCTGACCTCCCACCAGGCTCCCATGTAGAGCAGCATCCAAAAGCTATGCAGAAATGTAACCACGTCAAACCCCACTGACAGTGTGACAGAAAGGATGGCAATGGACTCACTTCATATGCCTGCGGACTTGTCAGGCACCGGGCAACAGGCCCACAGCACCCCGGGAGCGTGGTCGTCAGAGGAGGACCGCTGTGCGTCAGCAGAGGCTTTAGATAGCTACAGAGAGGGTTAAGGAAGAACGAGGAATAGGGCCATGTCGGTAAGTCAAGGGGTGGGATGCAGAGGCACCAGCAAGGGACTCGGTGTCTTGAGGAAATCACAGGATGGAAAGAAACACAAGTCCCTGGAAGCACAAAAATTATTGGGATGAGCAACCTGAATGCAACCAAACACAGCGGGACACGAGCAGACCAGGACAGAGTCCTGGCAAGAAAAGGTTTAGCAACATAACTTGTCCCATCATCCTGTGCTTCTCAGCCTGGCAAATCGCTCCTCCACTAATTCATGACAAAGCATTTGAAAGGGAGGAGGGGCACAGGTCTAGCAAGAGGGCTACAAATGAGAAGGCCCCCGGCGCTTCCTACCAGCCTGCCAGTGAGATGGAGGACCCCCCAGCTTTGAACTGAGCTACCACTGCATTCCCACTGACAGTGAGTGGAAATGGTCATTTCTCGCAGCCACAGACACGAGGAGGTGCAAATCAAAAACCAGCAGTGTAACGGGAACGCAAACGCTGGCTCCTCTGCTAAGCAGGGAGCAAGTCAGGCGCCAAGTCAATGGAGTTGCTCGGAGACACAGGATTTGACACGGCACGCGCCAACCGCCGTTCAAGGATACTTGTGATCAAAGTTGTACCACATGCGGAACAGCCAGGCACTTTCTGCCTTCGTACTCCTCCTCTCGCTCTCCGGGATGCCCTGCAGGAGAGAAAAACATTAAACAGCAGCAGGGCAACGTGCCATGACCTGGATCAGGGCCAGGGGCCCCCACGGGACACCAGATTATCCCCACAGGGACGTAAAATGACACACACCTTCCCAGTGCCTCTTCAGGAGAAACCCTTGGGTTGCAGCGAGCATAAGGGCATTCACGCCATGACGGGCTGAGGGTGCTTCCAGTATGCTCTGCATTTAGCGGCGTACAACAGCCTTAGGGAGGTGGTATCAAAGCACGGAGTGACCATTTTTCTGCTACAGCCTTCTAGTTTTTGGCCCTAAGGTTTTAAGTGCCCTGGAGCCAGCGGCTGAGTCCAGACATCACGTTTAATTGCAACTGACAGGTCCAACCTCCATCAAATCTCGCCTGAAATTTTTGTATGCAAATAATCATGTGTTAGGGGACTCCTGGCTTCCTTTTAGTCAGAGAAAAAAATATAAAATTGTTTGGAGGGGACTATGAATACAATTACATATTTTACAGGAATTTGGCTTTCAGATTTATGGCTCTGGGATGCCTTTAGCATTTGACACTTTCTCTCCAGGCTCTGAATAAAATGAACCTCCAAGGTGCAGAACTCACACCAAAATCAAGTAGAGCCACAGCCACAGCACAACTGGGCTGCAGGTGCATGAGCGAGACAGCTCATGGCTACCGGGCAGGTACACTCCTGACGCTGCAGGGCTCCAACATTTATCTCAGCACAGTCAGTGGTTCCTGGGCTGCCACAGAACCACTCACAGGAAACAGTGGGGACAATAGAGAGGTTGAGGGTACCCATGGGTAAAAGCGGGACAGAAGATGCTACATAAAATGAGTCAGTAAATGGTGTTTCTGTACTGCCCTGGATGCTGGGATGAGGCAGAAAGCCCCCGTGTCATGCACATTTTGGTATTTATTTCAGACCCAGCGAGGGAGAGACTGAATCCATCGCAGCAGTAATGTGAACTGACTGAACAGTCCAGCGCTACTTCTATGCCCTTCTTTCAAACTGAATAAAAGCAAGCCTCATTATAACCACAGAGGGCACAGAAAAGCCATGACTCCCACTGACTGCAAACTCTTTCACCAGAGGAGCTAAAAACCCTCCTACAGCTGGAATGGAGCGGAGCACAGGCGAGCATTGACAGGGTCTCGATGTAACCCCTGCACCGAGGAGCACAGTGCAAATTCCTCTACAGAGGCTGCCCGGCAGCACCGCACTCACCACGTTCTCCTGATCCGCATCCACGCCGACCCTGCGGAGGAGAAAACAAGGACAGGGTTAGCACACACACGTGCCGCCGTCCAGGGGGGAAGGACACGATCTTCCTCTTGTCTTTTAAACCCAAGCACGCTGCTGTAAGAGCGGGCAAGGGAGAGGGCACGCTGTGCCAGGAGAGCCCTACACGCACCGCACTCACCGGATATTCAGGCAGGACAGCATGGCCGTGGTGCCCCCACCGAAAACCCACACCGTAAAGAAGACGATGAGGAGCG